TGATACTGGTAATAAAAACTTCATGACGCCCTCGAACTCTAGGACCTATTAACGAAAAGCCTCATAAGAGACCTGCATAAAGTAGTACTTACTTCATTTGGCATTGATATTTCAAAAAGCTCTACTCTCCTGTCGTTCCATCTTGAAATCATTCGACAGAGGCGATCGTACTCCTCACGGCTGTTCCCTCTACTCATTTCTAGAGACTATTGTAGAATGTCTCTCTTAACTATAAAAGAGGACAGATACCACCACACAGCCACACACACTCACCAACATTCTGAGCTAATTTATAGGGCGTGGTTAAAAGGGGGAAGGCCAGGCCTTTGGATAGGGTGTGTCCACAGTTAGCCTGGCCCTGCCTCCTACACTGTTCTACACTAACTTCAGTACGGTATTTCTGCTTCAGTGATGCAAAATGCTGCTTCTTATCGCTCTGCATCTGGGGCTTAGCAAAAAACCTAAATGTACAAAACTGGCGAAAATGATTTTTAATCTTTAATGATTTTCTTGGCCTGCATGCAACATTAACACATGGTCGTGGGTGAACGTTGTCATGGTAACTGATAAATAGTCCTTGTCGTCGATTAAGTATTGAAATTCATAATTGTAAACAAACCGTCAGCATCAGGATGTCTGTGCGCGATAAAATCCACAAGTTCGAAGATATGGAGAAAGGGAAGAGTGAAGAAGGTACATCGAGTTCCAGTCAAGGTATGCTAGCAATGCTACAGGCTACAGAACTCTCTTATCACTTTCATTTGTAGGCAAAAAGTTCTTTTATCCAGGAAAGCAACCAAAGGCTCCAGCTGAGCCTGCTACAGTAACAATTCCTCAAGTTAGAACCAAGCATAACAATCTTCCAGGTAGACTGATTATATGGTAATGGATTGTAGTACTAAATTGATCATCAATGCTGTAGATTATGAGGCAGATCTGCAAGAAGTGTGGAGTGTTAGGAAGAACATACGACATGTAATGAGCAATAACGTCAATCATGGAACAACAGGAGGATCACAGCAAGTCGGAGCAGGGCTAGGCAAAAAATTTTGTCAGCATTATTCACGTCATGGAGCTGCAATACCAGCCCAGCCTGCAGCAGAGCCCTCAAAAGAAGGAGGCCGGTACACAGCAGGACTGATGGAGACCAGTCAAAGTACATCATGATTGCTTCCTAAGTTAATTTTCACTTCCATTTTAGGTTTGTGTAAGAGATCCCCACTTCAAGGTATCATTCATAATAAACACATTTGCATATTGGGGTGTCATTTCCTTCTTTTTCCTCAGAACAAAATCACTTTGAAACTAGAACGTGGAACTTGAAAACGCCCGGTTTCTCGTATACCGAAGGTGTTAAAAGACCGGGAAGACAGTCACCCACAGAAGGTGATTTGCCACCTCATACTAAAAGAAAATTAGCAGTTGGAGATAGCAACAATGACATACCACCTCTAAGACAATTCTTCAATCATGGTCAAGGTACATTATCACAGAATTATTGAATCATTATACTTTCTTATATATACACAGAGCAAAACAATGATAAATCTCAATATGCACAGCGAATGGTGCAAGGGCACCTTAAATCAGTTGGAATGGGTCAATATACACCTAGTGCCAGTTACAGCAAGCATCAAATAGAAAAGAAAACATCCTGGAAGAAATTCGAACCAGATGACTTTAGTTTTAACTAATGTATTACGTATTATACTTTATGTAGATTATTGTAAATCATTGCTCTTTTTTGCAACATTACTCTATAAAATACCATACAAAGAGATAATGGTGGTCTAGTTAGTACAGCTATTCCAAATATGAGATTGTTGGGCCAACAGTGAAGTCATGCATGCATGCATATACATGTACATGACCACTCCTTCATCATCAACGATCAAACAATGGAGCATTCAGAAGAACAAAGCTCTGACTCTCAAAAGACAGCTAGTAAGAGATGTTGTTAGTTTACCAGTTCCTTTCATTCTTCTTCATAGGGCAAACCAAAGGGGTTGAATATGCTAAAAAGATGGCAAGGGGTTACTTAAAGTCTAATGGAATGGGAAATTATGCCTCAGTGTCACCCAAATCTAAAACCTCTACCTCTATAAAAGACAAAACTATCATTTGATTTATTTCATTAATCATTTAAAAGTTTTCCTACATCATCAGAAAAGTGTATATTTCCTTGTAAGACGTAGTGCTGATTGTACTCGCTCATGCAGGACAAGTCATACTTATAATTTGCCATTATTCCATATGAGTCTTTCAAACCCTTTGGACTTGTATCTGCAAGCCAATTCAGACGCCAGAGTGAAGCTCCATTCCTTATGTGAAAATTAGCAACAGGGTTGAGAGCAAAGCCTCTTCTCTTTTCATTTACAAGATACCTGTTTTAGCAATAAAAAACAAATTGCTATATACCATGATACAAATTACTTTGCGCATAAGGACATTAATGGCTGCTTTAATGCATTCATTCTAGCAGATGCTGTAGCTGACCAGTCATTAGTATCCAGTACATGCTAATAATCAAATAAGTCATAAACACTATTGTGATGATAATAAATATAGTTGTCATACCTGAAGGAAAGAATGAATGTTGGTTTGATCAGGACAAAGAATTTTTAGCTCTTGAAGTTTCTCCAATGAAATCTTGAATACTCCTGCATTTTAATAGATTAAAAAATAATTATAACTATTATTTCTTACTTGAATCATTAATACAGGAATGAAGATGAGCTTCCAACCATTTACGAAAGCCAGGTACTGGAGAGAGAGTCACAAACTGCTGAAGGCTAGGGATTTCTTTCTTTAGAGCTTCAACTACTTGAAGTATAAGAGAATTGCCAAGTTCAATACCAGAGAGTCCTTTTAATAATTGCAAAAAAATTATTATCATTATTAATAATAATTGCTAGTACCTTTATGAGCAGCAGATATTGAATAAAACACTGCTGATCTGACATTGTCCAGACTCTTAATTTCATGCACTTGTCTATTTAACAAAGTCTAATACAAACAAGAAGCCATTACTACTACACTGAGTAACGTAGTACCTGAACACTTGAAGATGGAGACTGAGTTAATGCGGAATGGAGGACAATGATTGGTTCTCTTGGCATGTTCCGATGAGTTAGAATAAATACTCTCCTAAATGGCCCAACGCGATGCTTTATATCTTTCCAGGAGCGTATTGAATGGACAGCCTCATATTCACTGACCTAGCAATAACAATAATGATCATTTTTAAAAGTACACATGCAATGCATTGCTTATGTACTTGTATTAGTAACGCGGTAGCGTTACTAAGTAGGATTCACCCCACTTCAAAATGGTTGGCATGAATTTAGTACATGGTCACCAGCCAAATTTTTTAAAAAATGAAAAGGAGAAAATCCTTCATTTTTATAATTTTTCTAATACATATACATGTCGTTATACCATTTATCAAGTTTGAGATGATTCCAATCAAAATTAAATTTTAAAAAAATTTTAAAGTCGCTCCAAATCACTACCTTTTCAATAATGTCACAAGGAGATTGCCATGTAATTTGTTGAAGGTCTAGAAATCCATGTGAGAACCATTGTGACAATAATGATCGAAAATGAACATCTAATTCTTTTAGATCATGAACGAGAGTGCCTTCTTCATTACTGTCCCTGATGATTGACTACTCAATGAAAACAACAAATAATAATAAATAATTTTATAATTATAGCCATACCAATAAATCACTCCTCATATCCACCAACGCTTTTAATCCTCCATTCTTTTGTACAATCCAACGGAATATTTCGATATACAAAGGACTAAGGACATTTTGCAATTGTATTTCAGCCCGCAGTAATTTGCTTGAATCATAATATTCCTATAGTGTAGCTATAAAAGCAGTATTTGCTGCATGCACTAATCTATAGTGTTAATCTATATCAGATCTATAATAGTAATCTTGCATAAACTAAGCCACTCTATGCTCTCATTTCTCTACAATACAAAGGAAGACCTATCTATATATACATGTAGTACTAAATTAAATGAGGAAGCATTGATGGAATTCATAACTTCTTCACATCTTGTTAAAAACTTGTTAACACCTGAAGCTCAAATTAAGTGTATCATCAATGCCTTACTTTACTGTACATGCCAGTGAGTGTCTTTGCTGCTTTATGAACATCAGCACGATCTGGACCAAGATGCTTAACAAGGTAAGCATAAAACAATCTCTTTTTTGAGTCATCATTACATATAGACTTGTAATATGATAGAATATGATTTGTTAATACCTACCACAAAAAATTATTGTTTTAATTATTAAAGAAAAATTAATTATAGCACAACCTCAGGTGTGAAAGGAATGTCATCCATCTTTGAGATTGGTCTAATTTCACTGGGAAACCTCTTAAGGATTCTCTGTATTTGTTGTGTAACAGTACTGGTAGTGCTTGCACTTTCCAATGAAAATGCTTTAGGCAGTTGCTCAATAAGCTGAGCCTGAGAGTAAACCCTACACAGCTGATAGTAGATGTAATCAGTCATGCTAAAGCAATATTAGGAGTGATTTTACTTACTTGTAGGCGATGCTGCAGCCAGAAAAGACGAGATCCTAGCTTTAGATTCCACATTTTCATTAATTTTGCTGCAGCTAGCCTGCCTGCTTGAATAAAGATTAAATTAAATTAATTAAAGGGTGTGGTCATTGATTTTTAGCTCTGCCTGCTGCACATTGGTTGTAAATCATGGCGTTTCTTTTGATGTTGAGTCTTTTGTTCACACTGACTCTCACAGGAGCAGAACCCGGCGCAGCCACTTTTGAAAAATGTCCTTTACTTAATCTGAACGGGCTTGTTTTCCCAGATTACTCTAGCCGTCCAGTAGAGCATGCATTGCATTGGAGTAAAGCACAAAGTAAGGTCTTTCTTCACTAACAGCATTTCTATGGATTTTAAGTAGTAGCAAAACCAGCACCTGACTGGAATGGTACAGCAGTTGTTGGTGCTGCTTTCAAGGAACTGAGATTATCAGATTTTAAAGGTTAGCATGTGTGTATATATACTTCTTGATTGACTCCTTTTTTGTTTCAGGAAAGTATTTAGTGTTCTTTTTCTACCCATTGGATTTGTGAGTTATTTTTGATCATTATGTTAAAAATAGTCATTTTTGATTTATGCAGCACATTTGTATGTCCGACTGAAATAACGGCATTCAGCGACAGAGTTGGCGAGTTTAAAGCGATCAACACTGAAGTGGTGGCTTGCTCTGTAGACTCTAAGTACACTCATCTAGCGTGGATCAAGACCCCCAGAGACAAAGGAGGTCTGGGAGAGCTTAATATTCCCCTATTGTCAGACATAACAAAGCAAATATCACGTGATTATGGAGTACTATTGGAAGACGAAGGAATCTCATTGAGGTCAGTTATACTATGTGGTCATTTTGGACACAGACATAATACATAATTGTATGTGCATATTAAGTAATAGTAATGCTTTATGTTTTACTAGGGGGCTGTTCATTATTGATGCAAGAGGAATTTTAAGGCAAATCACAATGAACGATTTACCCGTGAGTCCATTTAATATAATTAATAAAAATTATTATTAATATTGATGAATATTAATGAAAATTATTTAATTACTGGTATGTAGGTTGGAAGATCAGTAGATGAAACACTTAGGCTGGTTCAAGCATTTCAATATACGGATCAATATGGAGAAGGTATGCTACATATTATAAGGTTTATGTGTGATAATAATTATACTTGTCTAATTTTTTTACTTGTAGTTTGTCCAGCTGGATGGAAGCCTGGGGAACAAACTGTAAGAATTATTTCTAATAAATATTTGCTGATTTACTTTATGACAAACACAGATTGTTCCTGATCCTGAAGGGGCACAGAAATACTTCAAAAAATGCAATGACAAGAACTAAACTCTTACTCTTATAGGGACTTTTAAAAAATAACACAAAGGAACATATTATTATTATTATTATAAGCAACAGTATAATAATAGTTACATGCTAAAATCTAATTGACTTCTTAACAACTGATCCTCTGCCTTGTGATCATGCAATGATATAAAGTACTTCAAATTATGAGGAATGTGCATTCCAATGTATGGCAATGCCTGGATGGCAATCGCATTTGCCGCCAGACACTTTAAAGGGAAGGGTCTCGAGTCGATGAATTGATCAGGAAACAAGTCGGGACGCCTGACATGCAAGTCTTTGATGACTGTGACTCGGTGAGAGTTTACGGCATCAAGATGAGCTCCATAGTCTATAAGTAATGATATGATGTCCTCTTCATGGGTCAAGTGGAGTGGTCTCATGCCCAGTGGACCGACTCCATTAACCATCCACACGCCATTTGCTTCTATAATTAATTGGAGTAGCTTTAGTGGTCCTGTAACTGAGTCTAGCCTCAATAGAACATGAATTAAAGTGGTCGGTAAGCCGTTTGCATCAATGATGGTTCTAGGACAGTTCTTCGAAAGGACATCTACCAAGTACTTTATGTCGGACTCTTCCGTGGTTGACAACAGAAACGCATTTAGTGATTCCAATATCAATTGTACGCCTGGTAGGAATGACTTGTGTGTAATGAGATGAGTGTGTCTATTCTTTGTCAGTATTACACAGTTAGTCACACAGAGTATAGCGTTTTCAATAACCGATATCAGAATGTCCTTTTCACTCCACAGATCCAATCGAGAGTCACTGGAATTATCCATCTCTGCCAATGACAACAGCTTCTGTAGCATAGTAACAACTAAATTAATTAGTTGCGATGAAATGGGATTGCAATTACGTACTACATGCAACAGCATTTCTGTTCCTCTAAGCCAAAACTGCAAGCCCTCACTAAGCTTCTTTGCTTCCCAAATGAACCAAACCCCAAATGACAGCAAAGAACAGATGAGACTAGGATCACCATAGCATAAACATCTCTCCCTGACTATTAGAGACTCATAGCACAGAGCCACCTCGAGATCGTTACCATTCAAGGATGAATACATTGATTTTACATCATTAAGAGTCAGCAATACTTTGTGTCCACTATAGAGTGGGATAGATTCAGTTTCACCTGATTCCAAAGACCCTTTGGTGAAAGCTTCGTAGAGTGCATGCTTACAATTGACTAGTAACTGCTGAGATCCTGACTTTACATATCCAATGACAAAAAATGTTGCCTTTAACAGAATCATGTTGATGTTCCTTTCTAATGAAAGATCCAATTTCGACGATGTAATTATACGATATACCTCCTTCATATCTTCTCCCATTAGACCGTACTTCTGAGAGAGGAAACTGCTCTGATCAATCAAATAAATTGGCAAAGGGCAGGCAGTTAGGAAAGTTTTACAATCGTTTTGTGCTAAGAGGAATTCGACTGCTTTTGTGTTATGCTCAGATACAGCAACATGAAGGGTGTTATATCCACGTTTATCTGTAACAAACAAATTTGCTCCTAGTTTTATCATTTTGGGAATAAAATGAGCCATTTTAGTGATCCTAGCAGCATACATCAGCGGAGTAGAGCCTTCCATGTCTTGACAGTTGAGCTCTATCATTCTGTGTCCTAATAATACAGATATGACTTCTTCATTTTGTGTCTCAAGTGCAAGCATCAGTGGCGACTGAGAGCAACAGCTTCCTATCTTAATCAGAGCATCACACTGACTTAAAAGGAAGTTCACAATTTCAACGGATTGAGTGGAATCTCCAATGATTGCAGCATGAAGCAGCGATTCCTTTCGATGCTGTGCCTCATCACTGATTGTCATGCACTTGTCATCAGCGTAATACTGCTTTGAATAAAAGGAATGGAGCTCATTCAATGCAACTTCCCTTATATGGTTAGATATGATGTACTTGACAAAAGAAAACGCACCACTCAGACAAGCTTGATGGAGACATTGCAGCAATCCGGTACGGAAAGTGCTTCCTCCAATATGAAGTCCTTTTTCCTGAAGGATACTTGTTAATTCTTTGATCACGTAGCCTTCTCTGTATTCTTTAGAGATCTTATCCCTCCAGGTGATGACATCTGAAGGAGTCATGAGCCATTCCTTGGTATTAATTTTCTTCTTCCAAAGGGCCATCTTTTCCAGCTAGCCCCTCCTACAAGTGGGCGGAGCATACAATTTCCGGATACTTCTGATTTATAGTTTGTATCACAATCCGAATATCTTAATCCGTATAGCTCCGCATATTCTACAATAGTTATTAAAAGTTATAATGATCTTTTTACAAAATGCTATACAGAGATAAGTAATCATTCATCTTCGGGGTAAATTTTCATTAACCATTCCTTTGGATAATATTTGTTCCGGCTTTTTGAAAACGTCTTGAAATAATCAGTTAATCTTTCTGATTTTACCTGACAAAATTGATAAAATTAATAATAAACAAACCAAACTACATAATGCCCCTAAATGCAGAAACTAGACGTGCATGCATTCAATACTTTGTCACTTTACCTGTGCTTTGTATTCTCTTGTAATGTGAACTTGTGGAACGTAAAATAAAGTCACTTCTTTCGTAGTAGAATGAGCTAATATCAAGTAATGAGGAGTATTGATCAGCCTCTGTCATTAATATAATATTTTTAAAAAATTTTAAAGCATTTTATAAATACTTTATTTTCAGCTAATAGGTATCCATGTTGAGAAAGCCACTGATTAGGAGCCTATTAAATCATCATAATGGCAAATGAAACGGAAATCCATGTGCACATACTTGGCAAGTAAAATCCCATCCAACAATGACCCCGTGGTAATTATCAATGGTGTGTCTCACTACGTCTCCGATATTATATTCCACGGTACTTGATGATCTGAGCCTCACGGACTCTGAACGAGCAAAGTAGACATTTTTGTTATTGTACGATTCGACTTCTTTGGCACTTGACATGCCAGGAGAATTGCCTGAAGCTGATACTATAATATTAAAAAGAGATAATTTAAAGAGGAATTGTTTTAACTTTGTACATTGTATAAAGACACCATCAACATGCAGAAACTTAATACAAATAAGGTTAGTTTGGAAAAAGCATTGGTGTAACTTAATATTTTATTAAGAAAATCATAACTTGAAAAGTAGTATAATGAGAATCAGAAATTTATGCGTATTATGTTCATACCAGGAGGACGTGATGGTTTCCCTGGTCTGGGTGGCTTTTGGCCTCGGCCTTTTGACTCATGCAAGTGTTTATGAGTATCAGTTATTGATTGCTTCCTCTTCTTTCTTGGATAGTAAGGAACAAATATTAGCTCCATTAAGTGCTCATATTTGGTGTAATACATCACATCTGATTGTATTTTAGTGAGAAGAGAGTCTGCAGACCCCATGATGCTGGGGAAAATAGAAACATGGTACGTCATTAGCCAGTAAACCCACTCCAATACCTCTCAAAAGCTGTTCCTTGAACCGTTGCGTCTACATCAGTAAAATGAATGAAGTAAGTGACGAGAATTTGAGCTGGAAGGATCACAATCAACAAACAAAGAAGCACGTATCTGTTCATGGCTAGAGTTTACGGACTATGAGCCCCGCCTCGTTTTCTCGTATAAGTCCGTATACTTGCCCATGTGCTGCTTCATCAATCATGAATCATCATCATCACTCACTCATTAATGATGGGAAACAAAAAGAAGAGAAAGTCTCGTGTTTCTAGTGATGGCAAGAAGTATCAGCCTGGAAAGGGAAAAGATGAATCTACCAGTGCTGGAAAGGAAGGTTAGTTTTAAATAATCCAGGATAATTATTTTTGGACATGTCAGTAAAGTGTACTAGATCTATGAGGTATATGATCATGGGAATAATTTATGTTTCATGATAAATAAATGTTGTAGAAGGATGACGGGGCTAATTTTATGAGTTTAACGTTTGTTGCTGTAATTTAATTTTATTCATTGAAATGGGTGTGGCTTTGGGTTTCCTACACAAAGCATGCTTCATGAGCTGCCAAGCATTTTTAAGTTGAAATTTTTGTAAAAAATTCAATTTTGATGAGAATCAGCTCAAACTTGCTACACAGCATAAGATCATGTACATGCATCAGGAAAAATTATAAAAATGGAGAATCCTCTCCTTTTCATTTTTGGGGAAATTTGGCCAAAGACCATGTACTATAGTACAGGGACTTTGACCCGATTTTCGAGTAACTTTTAAAATATCTACATGTATTAGAAAAAATTATAAAAACAAAAAATTCTCTCCTAGCAATTTTTGAAGAAGATTATCCTAGTTAATTTTTGAGAAACATTAAAATCCAATGACATGAAGTTGCATGAGCACTATACCAAAATCCTGTGGGAAACCTTGGTGTGGCTATGCGTTAAAAATAAAAATACAGTAATAATAAATAATTAACAAAGTAAATGTGATGTTTAATGATAATTCATTTTCTATTGCAATAGGAGAAGCAGCTAATAAGAAGCAATCTAAAAGTTTCCCAGTTCCTGTGAGTGTTCATGATATTAAACACTAACCAATATTGTTTCATTACAGGGATTGAATAATCTAGGCAATACATGCTTTTTCAATGCAGTTTTACAAGTAATAGTTAGCCGTGTATATATATATATATATATATATATATCTCATAATTATGACATCATCCTTTGATGTGGTTGGGTTTATATTTTTGTATATATACCTGCCATTCAGAAATGCTGTCATCATTATGAAATATATCTTATATAACATACTAGAACTGGTCAATATACAAAAGATATAGACCTTTGGTGGGTGTCCTCGGATGTGATATAGCCCGAGGGCCTGTGGCCCTCGGGCTATATCACATCCTTAGACACCCACCTCAGGTCTATATTTTTGTATATAGACCTGTTTAGTATGATATATAATACACACACATATATATATATATATATATCATTATTTTTATTTTTTGTAATTGATAGAACCTGTCTCAGACACACTTGTTGAGACAAAGGATGAGTCAGCATTTATCAGTCACGAGCTACTCTCTTTCAATTCCTTCAGGGAGTGATGATTTGGTAAGATAACTGTTACATTGTACTTTTTGTTTCTATACGAGAAATAACACAATCAACATTGTATAAACATTATTATTTTGCTGCTTTTGTCCTGGGAGTACAAAAATCATTAAAAATGCACCAATTTAAAAAAGAATAATACTTTGGCCGATCCCTTTAATATCAAATAAATAGTTTAGGTCTATGTGTGACATGTAAATGTATGTATTCCAGGCACCTTTAGAAGTAACGGTTAAGAGAAATGACGAAGGAGCAAAAACTGAAGACTTTGCTATTGATTTGTACCGATTCTTGGTGGACATGAACGGAATGAGTAATCGGATTTTGAATCCACGAATCATCTTCAACCATGTTTGCAAGAGGTAAGTCTTTTAATGCTATACCTAGCAATTAGAAGTGAAGTAACATTATGTTGTACTCTACAGTGCTCCAAGGTTTAATAGCTATCAACAGCAAGATAGTCATGAGCTGCTCCGGTATTTACTGGATGCTTTGAAGAGTGAAGAGATTCAAGTGAGACCCCGACATACGTGTACATTGTGTATAATATTCTATTTTCCATACTTGTTGGTTAACAGAGAAGGAAAGTTGCCATTTTGAAATCGTATGGCGTATGCAAGAAACCCGATAAAGTCAAGACCCTCACTGATGATGACAAGAAAGCTATTAAATGTATTTTTTTGTAAATACCTTGTATTAACTTACTTTCTTATATCATTAGTGTATGGGATGCAGGCATCGATGATGGACACCTATCTTGAAGATGTTTTTGGTGGGAAATTAACAAGTTCTATCACATGCCACTCTTGTCAAACAGTGAGTAGCTGTATTAATATTAAAATCACTACATTAATTGGTGGTTCTTTCTCTCTCTATAGTGTACAGATATGCAAGAAGATATTCTTGATTTGTCTCTCCCTATACCTTCAGATAAGGTACATCGTTACATAAGAATCCATTCCACCTCTTAATAATGCAATGTACTACCTGTGTTTTGCCTGTAACTACCAATTACCAGATACTTATTGAAGTATATTTACATATATTTATCCTGTTGTGACTTTCATCTATACATGAACCCACTTCCACTTTGCAAACAGAAGCATATGATCATACATTACATTCCCACTCATTCAGGTGCTTCATCGATTTCCAAAATCCAAAAGAAAGCCTTCTATCCATTCCTCTGATGATGATGAAGGTTTGAGTGTTCAGAAGGGAAGAGGCTCGCGGGCTTCTTTGAGCAAGCATCAGAGGAAGAGGCAAGAGAAAGCCGAAAAGAAGAAAGTAATTTTACAGTTTTTCATGATTAGATTATTGCAGATTTTTAGTGATTAGAATTTCAAAATAAAGAGCTAATAGATGTACATGTAATTATAATAATAATCTTTTTTCCTGCGTTTCCCATTTCTGTTTATCATAATAGGCAAAAGGAAAAAACAAGCAAAAAGGAAAGTATAGTCTTGAGGAGTTTAATGAGTTGAAAAGTGACCCTCCAAAGCTACCTAAACTAGAAGAAGAGACTTCAGGTCCTGGTGTACCTGAGCTGGTACAACAGCTTAATGACATTACACTTGAGGAGCCTGTGAATACAAATGGTGATGTCATTAGAACTAACGCTCTTATTGATAGCTCATCTGCTGTCACTGATGCTCCAATCAACATTCCTGGATCACCAGCGGCAAATGTCGCCCTGCAAAGTGAAGCATCTGGCGTCACTTTTAATCACAATACATCAGTACCTGATTCTACTATTGATAAGGAACACGTTCAAGGGGAACCTCCTACTCCCAGTGTTTCTATTGATGTACCAGAGAAAGAGCCCGAGAAAATTGAAGATATTTCTAACAGTGCTCAAACTGTTGATTCTTCTGCTACAGTGATTGATTCTTCTGCTACAGTGATTGATTCTTCTGCTACAGTGATTGATACTGGTAGTATTGTGTTGGAAAATGAGCCAGTGCCTTTGGATTTATCCATTGAGATTGTCCCAACTGAGCCTAGTGGAGCCACTCCTGTAGTAGCTAAGCAAAAACCGGCCCCTCCAGAGGAAGATAACTTATTCTCTCTTCAGTCGTGTTTGAGGGATTTCACGTCGCCCGAGATTCTCAAAGGAACCGAAAAGTTTTGTTGCAACGTGTGTACTGAGAAGGCTAGAAGTACGAAGTCTAAAGGAACTGCGAAGAAATCAAAGGAAGAGTCTTCTCCACTGTCATTGGCAGTTTCTGATCAGCAGCAGCCTGAAAAGCTGACAGAAAAATTAACTGTAGAAAATAAAGGCACCAACAATGATGAAAAGGTTGAGTTCAGTATTGATTCTGGTATGAATTCGTCATCTTCGAGCAGCGAGTCTGACAGGGACGATTCCAGAGATATTGAAAGCACTAAAGAATCTGATGGTAAGCAGTTATTTCATTAAAATAGCCATTTTATAATTTTTTAATGCATATACATGTTATTCCAATGAAAGACTAATTTTTTACAAAGTTTTAAGGTAGCTCAAAAATTGTGCCAAAGTTCCTGTATTATAGTACAGGGACCAAAAATGGCAAAGAGAGATTTCTTCATTTTTTATAATTTTTCTGATGCATATACACGTTTTTATGTTGTGTAGAAAGTTTGAGCTGATTCCGATCAGAATTAAATTTTTTTACGACTTTTTAGAGTTTGCTCCAAAATTGGGCCAAAGTTCCTATACTATAGTACAGGGTCATCAGCCAAATTCACCAAAAATGAATAGGAGAGAATCCTTTATTTTTATAATTTTTTCTGGTACATATACATGTTCTTATGTTATTTATCAAGTTTGAGATGATTCCGATCAAAATTGGATTTTTTGTGATTTTTTAAATTGCTCAAAAATTTAGCCAAAGATCAAAGGCCTACTTGTACATATACATATACTAATTATTACATATACATGTACATTCACTGTCACTCATGCTATAGTGGCATTATCTTGCTACATTTTTAGATGAAGAGACAGCAATCAGTGACCGAGAGGAGAATGAAAGTGAATGTGATCTTGTTTTTACTGAAGCCACAAAGCAACTCTTAATAGACCATCCGCCTCGTGTCCTCTGTATACAACTAAAAAGGTAATTTATAATGTGTATCCTAATGGGACTCTTACATTAGATATAATATGGATGTGCTGCTTTAAATACACTCTTGTTTTTTGCTAGATTTACACAGCTTGGAAGAAATCTGTCCAGTTTGCAGAAGAACAATGCTCATATTGATTTCACCTTCCTATTGGATATAGCCTCCTATTGCACTGACAAATGCACAGTAAGACTTTATGTTAACTAGCTACATTTTAATTTCTAAAATCTAACTATTCATTAGCCTTTTTAAAATTTATTCTAATTATAGGATTACTTTGATTCTGATGGAAGACTCATGTATTCCTTATATGGTGTAGTTATTCATGGGGGTAGCATGCGTGGTGGACACTACACTGCGTATGTAAGAGTGAGGAGTGAAATACAGCTTGAGAGACTCACAGTCAACAAAGTGACAGAGTCTGAGACTATTAATAGTGATAATGAACATATTGAGACACGATCATTTGATTATACATCAATGGAGAATAGCCAGTGGTACTACATCAGTGATACTCAAGTGAGTAAGGCATCGGCTGACGATGTCTCTCAATCTCAGGCTTATTTATTGTTTTATGAAAGACTCCCTTTTTCATGTTAATTATAAAATTTATTATTTATTTTTAATGTTGATATTCTTAGTATTACTATTATTATTGATTATGACACACAAGTCTAAAACCAATTTTTGTTCAATTTGAATTTGGATAAATCGGGAGAGTGTTATCACTCCACCCGTTAACTGGCAGGTCGTACTTGTGGAATACTTCTTGTATCCCTCCAATTTGATACGAGTTGTGAAGGAACTTGCTATAGCGCCGCTCTGTGATTGTACGTATGGGACAATCCTGTTCACGTACTCTTTTTTGATACCACTTTGATGCAATGAGGAACAGTATCCAAAACGGTATGCAAACGCATAGTTGAACAACAATCACCCAAAAGGTGCATGGGAGTTTAAGGGCACTGATATTCAGCAATGTAAGTGGTGTCCCAATACTTATGAATATGGCACGTATCAGCCAGAATGCTCCAGTAAGCATTCCACTCATTTCGTGTGGGGCTTGGGAGCAGATGAATTCAAAGCCTTTTAAAAGGATGAAAAAAGCAGACATCCCAACAAAAAGCCATGGTATGATGAAATAGAAATAAGAGAGTTTGAAGTCTGAATTTGGAAAGTTAGTAAATGATAGGTGACACTGTATGTCGTCACTCCCCTTCATAGTTGCTGCAACTGCTTCTATGATACCCATGCTCACTAAACCAAGGGCTAGAAGAACAATAGCAATGCAGAAACCTTTAAACGAGTTGGTAAAGAAATATTCAATTTTAGGAAACAATGGCAGAATAATGAGATCCAGTACTGGTATTGATATGATTCCAATTTGATAGAATGTCTGCCACAAGATGTAAGCACCATATCCGTGAACGTGATCAGAGGCACCATGGAACTGAAAGCCATAATAAGCTCCTTGTGAAACAACAGTGGTATGCGGAATGAAGAGTCCACCAAGCGATAAAAAGACAACCACAATTTTCCAGGAGAGTTTTGTGTCTTCGACATCACTTTCAGAAAATGGCCCGCCGTATTTTATTTTTGCATAATCTATGCGGGAAGGAGCTTTGTTTTCCCAGTACGTAAAAGCACTTCTGTTTTCCGCTTTCTTGTGCTTCCAGGCATATTTGAGTACATTGAGAACTGTTTTGTAAGGATTGCGATTCACTTTGCCACTAGGATAGAACTTGTCTTTAAGATGAATGTGCAAAACCAAAGCTACAGACAAAATGCCAAATACGCCAAGCATTGTCCCCAAGATGAGATCTCTGCTCAATTCTCCTACAGTTTTAACAACATTCAAGTAATTAAAGAAGAACCCGACAAAGAAACCCCATGTCAGCCAATGGACAAATCGTTTTATTTGCCCGGTAGATGCATCTGGGAGCTGATCTAGACCATATGCAAGTATGATACTTTGATAGCAAGCTATTCCAATAATGAGTAACACAAGTGCCACTGTTGATAGCCCATATGTAGCAGTTTTGCTTATCCAGTCGATTGTGCAGTAATCATACCGAATGCAATGACTTATGGTCTGAATGGCTGTCCCCAACCAAGTCAGCCACAAACTCAGTGATATGGTCCTCTCACGGCCTAGCTTTGTGTCTGCTAACCAGCCAATCAGTGGATGGAGGCAGAAAATAACAAATTCCTTCAACCATTGCTCAAAAGGATCAAGATGCTTGTCTTCACCTATAGTTTTAGGACAATAATGAAACAGCTCCATGATGATTCCTTGCCCTATTGACACACTCATTGTTATCGGAATGGCATAGAACACAAGCAGTGTTGAGGGTAAGGTGATGTTTCTCTCCCTTAGCTCTTTCAAATATGACTTCTTTACTTTCTTGGAGAACTCCATGTTATCCCCTACGTCAAAATCTTCACTTTGTTCCAGTGTTGTCATTTTGTGAATACAATGTTATTCTCAAGACAGGCAAAAGGGAGAATGCTTGGTTTGCACAAGGGCTTGTATAAACATTAGCAAGAGTATATTCTTTACATTAGTAATAGCATGCATGTATAATGTCAACATGTAGTAGATGTACTATCTATCTAATTTTAATAATAATTTCTTTATAATTTGCCCCACCTTTGAGAATGCCATATAAACAAAGTTGATCCGGAAGACTCAAGCCAGCACACACACATACACTTTCAGGAAAGAAGAAGCACTGAAGCTAGTGAAGGATGAAGATCCTGCTGTCTGCTTTTATCATTTTGTGGCTAAATTCTCTGGGACTATCTTGTAAGTAGAACTAGACTAGTTGTAGACTCTGTTACTTTTGTATTCAGGGTCTGTCTTTTATGTAATAGATCTAGCATCAATATTATGTAGATCTATTATATGTTTTTTTAAAAGATGTAACAGTAGGCTTGTAGAATGACAATGTGATTGTATTTGATAAAAATAATGTCCATTATCATTAACTGATTATAGTAATGACTATGATAGCTCAGAGAGCCCATGGTTAAATTATAATGATACATTAGTGGCTTGACATGCTTACTAATCACAATGACACCATGTTTCAATGTAGCGGGGATTCTTTGAAGAAATGGTTGATGATATTAATTTGTTTTTATAGATACTATAAGTTTACTTCCATTCTTCAGTACACAGCCTTACATTAATGCTAACAATGAACCAACCTTCCGATGTGGCCCTGCCTCTATTGGTGGACAGGCTGCCTGTAACAGTAACACTGCTCAGTTTCGACATAATAATTCAGTCATTAATACATCATCAAGCAAGTATGAACTAGATACTTTTTATGACCATGCCAGTCTTACGGTACACAATGTTGTACCAAGTGATGGAGGATGTTATGGATGCTCATATATTTGCAATGGCACTATAGTAAATGCGGATAATGTGTGCCTTACTTTCATTCGTAAGTTCTATACTCGTTTTTTTATATTAAAGTTTTATCTTTTCTTTTTTATAAAGCTCCTATAGTATTTCTTGTACCAGACAATGCTGTCTATTACAGTTTTGTTGGTAGCAATGCAACACTTTTGTGTGACGCTCAACATTATTCTAATCTACAGTGGCAGACTGCATCCGGGATTGTAATCCAATCAAGTCATAAATATAGTTTCCAGGTATTTGTGCATCAATAGTCTCTTGTCTATAGACAGTTTTGATGTCCTTTTTGATGAATATGTTTAGGGAAACAATTTGGTCATCAATGACATTACTGTCTCTGACCAAAAGTCTTACATCTGTGCAGCTAATAATGACATCACTCACAAAACTATAATAACTGCTAGATTACAAGTATACAGTGAGTTAAGAGTCCAATTTTGTGGTGGTAGTTTATTATATTTATTATTATTATTTTAGTGAAGCCGGTAGTAACAGCTGTCGGTAATTCTAGTGTTAGTGTTTATGAGGGAAATACGACCACATTCGTTTGTCAAGCTAGAGCTGTTCCTAGACCAAGCATTGTATGGGCCAATGAGAATAATATTCACATTGGTGACAGAATACAAAGCAATGAAGGTAGCTTGAGTTATAATATTAATAAATTGAAAGTAGGGTATTTTAATTAAGGAAGTGACTAATTCCTCTTGTTATGCTAATATTGCAATTAATCAACAATTCCTATTATGGCGCTACTGGTAAAAATCCCTTTTGAGCGAGCAGTATGTGTAAATTGTTGCTTCATGAATAACAGATCAAAGTTTTGATAAATATTTGTTGTGCAAGCCTCCCCCTGCATATCAGCAGCTGCAGTTCATAGTACTTACATTTAAAATTGAATTAATTGCAATCTTGTGTATAGTTAATATTGGAAATGACACTGTACTAAGTACTTTGACTATATCTTCAACGGAAAAAGCTGATAGAGGTCCTTATAAGTGTACTGGTGCTACTGACAATGGTACTTCAACAGTTACATTTCATTTGAATGTTAAGAGTAAGGAGAACAACAAAATTACTGACATATTTTATATAATTGGTTTGTAACTACAGATATACCGGTGCCTTCTCTTCAGCTGCATCAGCTTAACTTTAGTTCAAATAGTATCACTGTGAGATGGGAAGTGTTTGGAGTCCCAGAAAGTGAAAGTATAACGGTGAGTTTTGACATCCTAGCATTATCTATTATTTGTATATTCAATTGATGTAATAGATATCATGGAGACTTGCTGGACCACAGAATGTAACTTTAGGCAAAAGAAATGTCTCACAGAGCAGCTTCTCTCTCTCAGTCTCTTCTTTACTACCTAACACTACATACATTTTCACTGCTACTCTGCTTGAGCTAGTTGACTCTGTCATTATTACAACGGATCCTGAAGGTAAACTCTCTTATACCTTGTATTCATAACATTAATGAAATGATATTACACAGAGTATTCATCGTCTCCATCCCCTTCTATTGTTAAGATGTCCCCATCATCAGTTTCATCTGTAGTAACTGGTAGTCTTTCCCCATTGATATCATTTCCTAAACCCACCATTGATATGTATTCATCTTCTCTTGATACAATACCCTCCACTCCAACTCCCACACAACTCTCTATTCCAAACAGTATGTGTTTATGCTACTCAGTTGATCTTGATGTTATCATATTATGTTAATCACAGGAAACAACCAACCGCTAGGGACTGTTGTTGGGCTAGTTCTAGGCAGCATACTCTTAATACTCATCATCGTAGTCTTTGTAGCTGCTGGCTTCTGTTTGCTACATCGCAAGGAAAGACGAAAGACATCGTTAAATGTACAAAGCATTGACAAACAGTTGAGTTATTATTGCTACGCTTGAGTAAGAACTAGTTTTTTATTTTTATTTTTATTTTGAAGGATAACAGTTCGCTCGGACTGCAATCTATTAGAGTATCCTAAAAGGAATGGGCTCTCATTGAGCAGTTTAAACTCGCCGTATCACGGGAACGACATCGAGGTCCAAGCAATGACACCCAACCCACAGTTCATGGACGAGACAATTTCCGGTCGCCCTGGCTTATCTCAAGACTCTGTCTCTGTTTACAACACCTGCTCATCTTGCCCACCTGTCAATGGAAGAGCAACAGAGAATGTCTACTATGTCGATTCTGAGGATAACTTTGAAATGACAGACAATCCTTATTTCGACTTCGACAAGGTAAAAGTAGATCTCGATTCGGCAAGTCAAATTTATTATGCAGAGTCTGAAAATTACGACAATAGATTCGAGTACAGCAATAATAGTAATTATGAGTCTTGTCTCCCTCCTCCTCCTCCATTTGCTGTTTACGATTCAAATTTGAGTCTATCAAGAACGCAGTCGCCGAGGTTTCAAATAGTGAGCGAAAAGAGAGGCGATGTTCGGGAAAAGGTAGACCTTGTTCATCAGTACAACTGATTCTTCTTGGTTGGTATTATTGTGTAGACTATGTATCTATTTTATTTTAACTTCATTCTATTGTGTGAATTATGTATCATTTACCCTAATAATTTTTGTTTATTAATCATAATAATTGAGATGTCCTTGCCCATCCAAAAAATGAGCATAGATTTGATTTTTAATTTTTTTTTTGCTTAACAAGACCACGCCTACATTTACCATAAGCCCCCGCCTATCATTGTCAAAGAAAAAGATGGTGCTTGCTGATTTGGGAAGGAAGATAACAACAGCTCTGAGATCTCTCAGCAATGCCACTGTCATCAATGAAGAGGTGGGAAGAGGTTCATTATATGTGTTTTTTTATGCCTTGATAGGTCGTACAAGCTATGCTGAAGGAGATATGCACGGCTCTTCTCGAGGCAGACGTTAACGTCAAGCTGGTGGGTCGACTGAGGCAGAATGTTCGAGATGCCATTGATTTTGAGGAAATGGCCGCTGGACTTAATAAGAGGAAAATCATCCAGTCATCAGTTTTTAATGAGCTCTGCCGAGTAAGTACCCACTTCAATTATTTTCCATTGAACCTTAGTTGAATTTAGACTTGATAACAAGCTTTAAAATTATATTTTTAATAGTTAATCGATCCTGGTGTTCCTGCTTGGACAGCTACAAAGGGAAAGCAGAATGTTATCATGTTTGTCGGCTTGCAAGGCAGCGGAAAGACGACAACTTGTACAAAAGTGAGCCAACGCAGCAACAGTGAAAAAAGACTTTTAGCTCTAACTATTGTTTAGCTGGCCTACCACTATCAGCACAAGGGATGGAAGACTTGTTTGATTTGTGCGGACACTTTCAGAGCCGGCGCATTCGATCAGCTAAAGCAAAACGCCACTAAAGCTCGCATCCCCTTTTATGGGAGCTACACTGAAATGGATCCAGTCGTAATCGCAATGGAAGGAGTCGAAAAATTTAAAGCAGATAATTTTGAAATCATTATAGTTGACACCAGGTATTATGTGTTATATTCTTGCATGGATTTATTTTAATTTTTAATTTTTTTAATTGTAAAAAGTGGTCGTCATAAACAAGAAGAATCTCTCTTTGAAGAAATGCTTCAGGTTTCTCAAGCCATTGTAAGTTATAAGGATTAGACTGTCTTCTTGTTATTGTGACAATATTATTCTCAGAATCCTGATAATATAATCTATGTGATGGATGCTACTATTGGTCAAGCATGTGAATCACAGGCTAGAGCTTTTAAAGCGAAAGTTGACGTCGCTTCTGTGATAGTGACAAAGTTAGACGGTCATGCTAAAGGAGGTGGAGCCTTATCAGCGTAAGTGTCTGTCGGTAAATGGAAAAAAGAAGGAAGCCTGGATAGAAGCAAAAATTAACACAAATACTTCTACATGTATACAGCTGTCCAAGCGTGTATTGGTTATTTTTGAAGATGCTTTGTTTTATATTTGTAGTGTGGCCGCCACTGAGAGTCCAATAACTTTTATTGGCACTGGTGAACACATTGATGACTTGGAGCCTTTTAAGACCAAACCATTTATTAGTAAACTATTAGGTTAGTCCCTCTCTCTGTAGTGTAGTTAATTTATTTCATTATAATACTAGGTATGGGAGATATTCAGGGTCTAGTAGACAAAGTGAGTGAATTAGGTTTAGATGAAAATGAGGAGCTAGTGAAGAAGCTTCAACATGGTATGTTGAGAGTATTTTTGGTACATTTGGGTAATAGGGGTATAATGCTAAGTATTGCAATTTAAAACTGAGTTTAAGAGAAGCCTCAGCTATATTGATATAATGGTTATTTTGTTTAAAATGGTTCTGAAAGAATACATTTTGATATTTTTTGATGCATATACTGCACATCTTTTTCTAGTTTCAGCTGATTTAAATCAAAATTGGATTTTTAAAGACTTTTTAAGTTGCTCCAAAATCAGGCCAAAGTCCCTGTACTATAGTACAGGGTTTTTGGCCAAAAGAGAATTCTTTATTTTTATAATTTTTTCAGATACTTATACATGTTCTTATGTCGTGTAGCAAGTTTGAGCTGATTCGGATTGAATTCAGATTTTTTACGAATTTTTAAAGTTACTCAAAAATTGGGTGAAAGTCCCTGTACTATTCAGATTTTTTACGAATTTTTAAAGTTTCACACCTTTTTTTCTCACCTTTTTCACACCTTTTTTTCACACCTTTTTTCTCACCTTTTTTCACACCTTTTTCATATCTTTTTCTCATCTTTTTTCATACCTTTTTTCACATCTTTTTTTACACTTTTTTCACATCTTTTTTCTTACCTTTTTTCACACCTTTTTTCTCACCTTTTTTACACCTTTTTTCACACCTTTTCTCATCTTTTTTACACCTTTTTCCACATC